GCTTGGAATAGCTCCAGGATTACATTTTCCTAATAGATTGTAGCTGGTTCTTTTGGATGTACTGGAGTATTTCCAGGGCTGGTTATCTTAAAGTGATTAGTAGGGTGTATATCCTTTTCAGGAATATTCTCCTTGAAGTTATTAGCTAATATATATATACTGTTAGATTATAATAAGGTTTCTACCAGCTTCTGAATAGATGTTAAACTCTCCGGAATATAAGGAGATGTTATCTGATCGTTATCCGTTATATTAATTGTTTCCTTTTAATAATAAAAGATGATATAAATTCAGTTTGTAAAGGATTATAAGCAGGAAATAAACTGGATAGTATCAGTACTATAATTAGGGTATGGTTTGTACAGAATTGAACTTATACTATTGCTAGAATGGTATAAAAGTAATTTTTTTATAGATTTCAGTACAAACTAACTAATAAAGAACAAAGGATATAAAAGGATACTCTGTATCCTTTTATATCCACGCTTTTCCGGCTAGTCCCCGGAAGGGGATTAGTCTCTACGCGGTGACAATTAATCTAATTGCAAAAAAAAAAAAGTTATTATTCCAATTATAAAATTTATATGTTAATCTAGTTGTTAAGAAAAAAAGGTGTTATTCTGATCACAAATTTTATGTGTTAATCTGGTCATAACAAAATGGTGCTATTCACACGAGAGGATATAGGAAGGGGGGAAAGGGAAGAGCCATACGAGAGGACATGGAAAAAGGGGAAAGGGAGGGGCCACACGAGAGGAGGATATGGGGCTATTATTTACACCAAAATAACGAATCAACTTTGAGACCAGAATAGCATCATTTTTTTTTTGAAACCAGATTAACACATTATTTAAAAACGACTGAAAAAACACTTTTTGAAAAAAAAAGGCTGAAATAACACAATGTGTTAATTCAGGTCCAATTAGAAAGTTTATATGCTATTTCGGGTATCAAAGTTGAAAATGATGCTATTCCAGGTATTTACCATTATTTATACTCGAGTATATCTAGTCTATATATTATACATCGATACATTGATCCTTCGCTCGCTCGCTCGCTTTATGTAAATTTTATCGCATCGCATTGTATATCGTACATTATACAGACTTTCCTCATTCTCTCTCTCTCTCTCTCTCTCTCTCCCCTAACATTCCAAAACCTTAATTCTCTCCCCCAACCCCTTAGGCAACTCCTCTCTCTTCATAATACCCAATCCAACCACATCACCCCAAAAGAACAAAGCCCTACTCTGTGCATACCCCAAATAATCAAATTCATCTTCTTCCTCCTCTACCTGTTCCTCCATCTTAATTTCTCTCTGGTCTTCTTTCTCCATCGTTGCGTTCTCCAATATCCCATTTTGAGGACCATCAATTTCATCCGGAGTCACCACAAACGGTGGCGCATCATCCAATTCCGGAACTTTGGCTTGCACGATTCCCCATGCAACCCATTGCGCACTATTAGCCAATCGCCAAATCCTCACTTCCTTCAACATCTGCTCAACTTGCTTCTCTGATTCCTGCTCCATTCTCGCTTCTTCTTCCGCATATGTGCAAGTACTACTCAGATGCGTATCTCTTTCGCTAGCCGGCGTCCGACTATCTAACATAAATTCCCTAATACTACCCGGTGGTGCTTCCCTCCCTTCCATTTTGGGAGTTAAACATGCTCCGGGATTGAATTGAGGACGATGATTTAAGTATGCCCTGACAAATCTCTTTTGTTCTTCAACCGTAGGATAATTCCTAGTGTCGCATGTCCAGGTCATGGGAGCAGGTGCATGATAATTGTAACACCATTCTGTAAAGTGATTGGCGAATTCTAGACCAGGAGTGTTGGCGCTTGCGTATTCGAAATCAATGACTACGAGTTGTTTGTGGACGTTCATGGGAAGGAGGAGGGGGGAGGGTGCGGATCCAGCGACAGAGGCCTCGGGGACTAATCGTAAGATGTTGCCATATTGTGTCTATTGCAAAGTTTATTAGTTCTGGGAAAAGGGTAGATGAAAGGGGTTGTGGGAGGCATACATCGTTGTGAGCAAATACTAAGCTGCGACTTAGTCCCTCTTTTCCACCATAGCTCTCCTCTAACCACTGCCTGTACTTTTCAACAGCAGCTCTGAATACAGGCCATTCAACGCCACAAACTAATCCTCTATCTCTCCAGCTTTCACCTCTAACACTTTTACTAGAATCCCCCTCTAAAATTTGTTTATCAAGATATGTAATAATCTTCTCGCATCTATCGACCCATTTATCCCAATTTCTCCAAACGAATGGCCCATCTTCCCTTTCCTCCTGGAGCAATTCAACACCATCATGTAATTCTCTCATCCGTTTTGCAATTTTCTTACTTGTATCTGGAATTCTAAGATCTTGAGCCGTAAGTGTCTGAGCATTAAAGAATTCTTCAAATCGACCATTTCTAAAAGTTCCCAGCATTCTAGGACCAATCTTCTTCCTCGCCAACCTTTTCAAAATGTTCAATTCCGCTTCTCGGTCGATTAAATGCTCAACTTGAGGTCCATAAATTCTGAGTAATAACTTTGGTGGAGGTTTCTGACTTTTAGTCGAAACGTTGGTACTGCTTGCAGAGGGTGGTAAATCTGCTGGTGGAGAAACAACATAAACTGCATTCGTGAGAGCACCACTCAATCTTTCCACTTCAATTTCACCACCTCGATCCAATGGGACTCTTCTCCAACCTTTCAGTCTCAACGTATGCGCCAATCTCACAATTTCACTCTTAAACTGGATCCATGCTTTTCTCTCCTTTTCTGCTCGTTTGGAACTACTTAAAGTAGTTGTTTCCATGGAAGATCCCGCACCACCACTATATGCAAGCGTTTTCGAGTTATCAAGAATAACATCGCACGATGGGACCACGATATCTCCATCATGAGTTTCGGTATCGGATGAAATAGTAGGTTTCAGCGAAGGGCGAACGAAGGATCGTCTTCTGGATTGTCGTTTTGGAGAAGTGAGGTGTGGAAGATGGCTATGATCAAGATCTAACATATTATCTTCTAGAATCTTTTGTAGTTTCTCTAAAGAGAGAGCGCTTGAGGTGGAACTGTCAGACATTGTTCGTGGCTTAGAAGTCATTATCCTATCTGGCAAATTCTCAACCATAGCTTCATTCTCCTTGACATCCCTCTTGTTTGACTTTCGAGAAGTTCTCTTCGCTTTCTCCGAATGAAGCCATTCTGAAACTTGAGACAGAAGTTTGTCGCGATGGTGATGGTGCTTTGCTTCTTCATTGGGTTTGGAAGAATCTAAAGGAGTAAGATTTCGAGTTGGTTCCTCTAAACTTATTTGACTTCGGAGAGTAACTTTGGAGGAATTGGTAGAAGGCATATTTGGTCGACCCGTCATTCTTTTTGCAATACCAGCACTGAAATGTTTTATTCGTGAAGTTTCGTCCGTGGGGGATAATTCAAATTCTTGTATACCTTCTGGTTCTGGCTCCGCAATGGAAACAACTGAGAGATAAGAAGTTAGCGAACGGCAGGGTGAGTGAATATTGAAGAGTAATTTCAATTGCTAACCTTTGGTTGGTCCACTCTTGGGGCTATGAAGGTCATTTATATCTGCCCGTAATGCTGGTCTGCGAGGCACCGTTGCGCTATTGAGATCTGGTGGAGAATTCATTTTTATGGATGATATTGACTTGGAATGTAATAAGAGACCAATTCGATTCTTGTAAAAGATATTTGGTATGTTGGATATTCTTCTTCTCATATTCGTCAGCTCTTGAAACGAATCTCTTTCCAGACCACAATTGCCAAATTCCAAAATCCCCAAGAGTACCCTGTTTTCGTTGAACGCAATGATAATTGGTTTTTGGTACTACCCCCACCCTTCATGGAGTTGAATGCCACTCCACTAAAGTAGCTATTGGGGTATTGATTGTAGAAGCTTCTCGAGTATTTTCTTACCTAAACTTGTCGTTCTTTTGGAATGCTTGCGTGGATGTGGATGTGGATGTGTTATATCGTATGTATATTTGTATGTATGTATCTCGATTTATTGTAGGGAATGTTTGGTTGTGAATTGTAGACGCTCACAGAGGATTCAAGAAGTAGGTATTATATTGATAGGAATAACAAGGAATAATAAGAAAAGAGATGTAGAGGAAGAGAGATAAGATGATAGATGTTCTGTTTGCGTTTCAAGGATATTTCCTGCAAACCCTGCCACTAAACACCACCCACTACCGAGAATTCAACCAATCAAATTTCACGAATAAAAATAATGAAGATAAACTTCATTTTCACATGCCATTTAAGCATAATCAACGTCATTTCATCTGCGTTTACTCGTATATTATCAAAAGCTTCATTTTTTCAACATTTGGTTTGTAGTCTCGCACGACCAGAGCCATTCTTACACATCATTCAGTATTTAAGTACTTTCAATATCGTCATGTATCTTTTACGATTACATCAAACAAAGCATGAGCATGCCGCCAACTTCGCTCTCAATAGATACACTCTGTGCAACGATGATTTTTCCATTATCGTGATAAGGGGAGCGACCTTTTTCATTAAAGCAACGCAAATGCGACCTGTGTACGAGCTGGCGCGACTAAAGTCAGCAGCATAGCACTGCTTATCGATGATCCTCATTATTTCAATAAACACTGGAGGTGTTGGAAAAAGAGATTGACGAATTGTTTAAGTTTCCATCTGTCATTCTTGTATTGGCATCGAAAGTTCTTATTACTGTTTTGCGTTCGTTGAGACAGAACAGAAACTCCTTTTTTTGCGTTGGCAATTATTTCTCTGAATGCCCAGTGTACAAACAACTCCATCACACGCCGCCAGTATGTTATTGGCTTGGAGCGGATCAACATATACTCTGCTGTAACCATACTTCAATACCATCAGCATATGGCGAAGAAGCAAATCCCCGAATGAATGGCGCCGTTGTCGTTAGACTTGGATGGGAATTCACTTCATTCCGTTGGATAGTATGGGAGAGCTTTCTTTCTCGCGTTGCCTAGTTTCCAATCGGCTTATGGAAAAGTAGGCAAACGCTTCTCCCATTGAAGCGGACCTATCTTACCTCGATCATTATTTTTGAGATTGGAAGTTTGATTTGCGAATAATAACACTTCCATTGTTGGCCGCGCAGTGCACTAGCTGGTCTTGAATGGGGAGGGATCCTTTCCCGCTCGTTCACCATCGTTGTCTTTATAGCTACTACAGCGAAGAGAGCTGCATACACCGGGCTCGTTGATGCCGTCTGGGGTGTTGCGAGTGTTGTTGAAGTTTTGGTAGGAGGTTAATTTACATCACATGTCTCGTGATGATAATCGTTTTGAGAAGTCACATAAATTGGATAACGCTATTGCATCTAGGCTCTTATATCAACCTCCCAGTTGATAATGTCTCGGCAGTCATAGTCGCCCCGTTTTTTTTATTGCGTTTAAATGCATCAAAGCCCTCAAAAGCCAAGTTTTGGGAACAGCTTCTCAATATGGACCTACTAGGTATGGTCACTATCATATGTTCCGATACATTACTATCTATTTACTCTTTTCAAGCCGGAATCACATACCCTTGAAAGTCGACCATGGTAATTGGGCTCCTCTTCGCCTCGATCCCGCTTCCATTATCTTTCTTATTGTTCAGATCTGGCTAAAGAACGCACAATGTTAACCAATCGTTTGACGAAAGATTGTGTTGGTTACAATTGCATGGCTTTTATATTCTTCCCTGTCTACCCTCTGTCTTTTTGTCTAATATCTCCATATACTTTCAGATTAATCGAAGGCGACTCCGCTGGAGAATCAGGAATTCAAACCATGTCAATCGTTGTCGGTATCATAACTCTCGGCACGATTAATTCAGGTGGAATCATTGAAGTCGGCCATCATATTTTCTTTTCGTACAAACGCTTGGAGGATCTCCCCATTCTCGCGGCTGGGTCGGATTTTGCCAATTCTATCATGAAGACTTTCGCAGTCAATGCCCCTTCGATAATACCAATGGAAATTAGCGCAACTGGTACCATGGAGCTGAAGGAAACGTATTTACTCCTGAACAGTTATTGGGCATTTTAAGATATTATATGGAAGGACTGAATGAGGCCTATATTATTGGGATTGTAATGGCCGGTATCATATTTTTTGCTCGCTTCGGACACAAGTGGCACAATCTGGAGGAGGGTGATTCTGCTAAAGCGACAAAATTAGAAGAGAGAAAGGGCGGACTACAATGTCAAAGTTGAGGAGTCTAAGATGTAAGGTGTGTAGTATCATTGATAGTACTGAATTATATCTCAGTGCGCTTTCAATAACTGTCTTTATTGGCTTCATCTCATACTCGCGCTTTCGGCATGCCGAGTATAACTCCCTCACTGGTTTCGGCATTATGTCTCCAAGAAGACTTATTCTGCTTAGCAATATGGAAATCAATATGGATATCTACAGATAAATGGTCAATTCTCCACCTGCTCTTTTAGCCGTAGTTATTGATTCAAGAGCCTCGGAGCCCTTCTCTTGATCTAGGAGATTTCGGTCGAAGTTCCGAGACCAATGGACTATGATATCCAATCCTTCCATGGGATTGTGAGAAAATTCGACATGGTCACGTTTGTAGTCACAGAGAAGCCATTCCTCGGAACAATGTCCTCATTCGGCAAAGTTGCCAAGGTCTCACGGAATAATGTTTTTCGACTTGTACGAAGGTACCACCACATGCTCGGAGTCAGATGCTGAAGATTCAAAATCCACTTCTTAGTCGATATGGAAGATTTTGGCTTCCAAGATCCTTCTATTATTAATGCGGAAAACCTTGTCCTCACATTCGACCTCGGTTGACTACCGTTTTGGTATTTGTTGCAGACTCTCCATTCCTTTGATGACATTTGTGCTACACGAGGCCTCAAATAAGTCCATCAGAGTGCATAAACGGTTTTTACCTCCGTATATTCACATGCCTGAAGTCCTAAAAAGAATTACCTCTTCACTTTCAACGAGACTTATATTAATGCAACGGCATATCAATCTATATTTACCCCGCATCCCCATAACTCCACACTTACATTTCGCACTAGTTCCTATATCGGGAATATACCCGTCGTACTTGCAAATAGGTACCAGGGGTTTCTATTTCACAACAGAAGATGACCTCAGGACCCGACTATTCCCAAGACTACCGTTAAACCTTATCATCCACTTGAGAGTCGAACTCTGGAGTAGCGTCCAATCTCCAGCGAACTTTGGCTATATCAAACGGTTTTGGCGCCGGTAAAATATTTACTTTGTGTGCCATTGAGTAAGGCACCATTCTCTTAGCCAGTCGATGGTGAATGCGAAATGCGGTGCCACGGAGCAATTAATGATAAAAATTGGGTCAGGTGAGTGGAAATCATCATCACTGACCGAGGAAGCACATGTTGAAAGTATGCAAATCTTTGAAAAGTTCCTATTCAACATGATAAGCAGTGATACTACGACGGCTTCTCTAAATCATATAAGGAAAGATCGAAGGCTCCCTCTCCATCTGCGGTAGTCGCCACTCATCATCATCCTACGTTATTCCCAAGGGGACTGAACCAATCGCATTCTTCAAACATCATGAAGTTCTCTCTGATCTCAATATTTGGTCTCATATCAATCTCTTTTGCTCTTCCAGTCGACAATATAGAGCGAGATGAACCAATTGGAGAAAGAGCCGCAGCTCCAACAGTAACGATTGCATCCCCGGCAGCCACAATAATTGGAGGTTCTGGCACAACTGTCGAAACCTTCGCTGGTATTCCATTTGCCAAACCTCCTGTTGGTGCTCTTCGATTAAAACCACCTCAACCCATTACCTCTGCCTTAGGAATTGTGAAAGCAACAACACAAGCAGCTTCTTGTCCCCAATTCTTCTTTAGTGATACAATTAATGGTGCAATCCCTACATCTGCACTCGGTCTCCTTCTCAATACACCTATTTTTCAACAAGTTCTCAATGCCGGTGAAGATTGTCTGTATTTAAATATCCAAAGACCAGCTGGTACTACTGCTTCATCCAAGTTGCCAGTTTTGTTTTGGATATTTGGAGGAGGATTTGAGTTAGGAGGGACTTCAATGTATGATGGATCTTCTTGGGTAGCTGAAAGTGTTGCGGAGGGTAAACCAATTATATTTGTGGCGGTGGCATATCGAGTTGGTGGATTTGGATTTTTACCGGGCGCAGAGATTTTGGCTGATGGGAGTGCAAACTTGGGATTATTAGATCAGAGATTGGGCTTAGAGTGGTATGTTTCTCTGTTTTGGGCATCCTTCAACAACTTGCTTTCCCTTACGCCTCTCGTTGCAAACTTTATTCCCTCTGTCACGCCTGAAATTCATAACCCTTTCTTTCATTCACTCTAGCGTACTCTACCTCAAAATGCATATACCCTCGTACTGACTACATCTCCACAGGGTCGCTGACAATATTGCTGCATTCGGTGGAGACCCAACCAAGGTTACCATTTGGGGAGAGTCAGCTGGCGCAATTTCGGTCTTCGACCAAATGGTTTTGTATGGAGGTGACAACACATACAAAGGTAAATCTTTATTCCGCGGAGCCATTATGAATTCAGGAAGTTTGATCCCAGCCGATCCCGTCGATTGTCCCAAAGGTCAAATTGTCTACGACACAGTCGTAGCTTCAGCAGGATGTTCAGCCGCAAGCGATACTCTGGCCTGCTTACGAGGAGTATCTTATCAAACTCTTCTTCATGCAACCAACTCCGTACCAGGATTACTGAGCTATTCATCCGTGGCACTTTCCTATCTCCCACGACCAGATGGTACCGCTCTTACCAAATCCCCCGATCTTCTTCTCTCATCCGGAGCATGGGCAAAAGTGCCCTTTATAATCGGAGATCAAGAAGACGAAGGAACAATCTTCGCACTCTTCCAATCCAATATCTCTACAACCGCCCAACTAGCAACCTATCTCTCGGATTTCTTTTTTCACAATGCTCCCGCCTCTGTTATTACTGGTCTCCTCGACACCTACCCCAACAATTTCATCTCCGGCTCCCCTTTCCGAACCCTCTTACTAAATAACTGGTACCCACAATTCAAGCGTCTAGCCGCCATCCTCGGCGACCTAACCTTCACCCTAACCCGTCGCGCCTTCCTCCAAACCGCCCTCAAAGTTGCACCCACCGTCCCCTCCTGGTCCTACCTCTCCTCCTACGACTACGGCACCCCTATCCTGGGTACCTTCCACGGCTCAGACATCTTACAGGTCTTCAATGGTATCCGTCCGGATTATGCGGCGAGGGCTAGTAAAGCTTATTATTTGAGTTTTGTTAATACGCTAAATCCGAATAATGGGACGAGTAAGGCGTATGCGGAGTGGCCGCAGTGGAGTAGGGGGAAGCAGTTGTTGAATTTATATGCGGATTTTGGGGGGTTTATTGGGGATGATTTTAGGGGGGCGAGCTTTGATTATGTGGTGAAGAATTTGGGGAGTTTTTACATTTGATATGTTGTTGGGGAGAGAGGGGAGCGAATGGGGTGAATAGGGAAGCGGATGTCAATGTGGATGTGTGATATCTGGTCAGGCTTGAATGCAGTGGGATTCTATGGGATAGATATGATATATCTGAAACCAATCTATGAAAATAAGTAAGCTTCTTATAATCAGGACGCAGCGGTAATCATTGGCGAGAAAATAATTTTGATCACCCTAATATTAGCATTAATTGCCGAATTAGAATTAGTGCTGTTATTTTATTCCATCACAGTTATGTTTTTAACGTCACGAAATCCTTTTCATGATTGCCGTTAGCAATTTAGATGAAAGCCTGTTCTTAAGTATTGCTTGTCAATTTCTATTGTATTTGTTGGTTGTACTCGAGCATAGTTTCCTATTTATTTTGTATGATCAATATTTATTGATAGTATATGCTCCTAGCTATCGATTTCTACTCGAGGTATGCTAATCGTATCAATTATATCCCTTCACAATCATACGGCAGAAATGCAGAATTGGTAGTTCAATGAATCGTTCCAAACTAGATCGGATTCTTCGTGTTCTCAGCACCGAAAACTCTGGATTGCTGTTGTCACAACCTATTTTCTAATCTATATATTCGTATCTGTCGTCAGTCACATATTCATATCGTTTGCCAATTTCATTCTGTAGCGACATTACATTGCACAGTAATATAACATCTCCCATCCCACTAGCAAAAGCCTTTATCTTATAACACTTCTCAGTACAATATCACAATACGAAACAGGATATAAATAAACCAATCGAGCACGAAAAGTCCCACAACCCCCCACCCCCCCATTGGCCGTCAGAATTGAATTTTGTAAGTAAATAATTGATGCTGCATCTTCAATGCTGACCTGTCTTATATACCGGTACTCTTCTCCTATCTACTCGAGCACTAGTAATAATGATCGATTAGCCTCAGTGTTAATTATAATGCCTCATGACTAAAATCTAATTTCTAGCATCAGACAGAAAAATAATTAATTATAATATAAAATACACCCGTCTCAACTAACCCTAATAGATCTATAAGAAATAATAGGTATATACTGAGTATATCAGAAGGAAATAAGGCGCGGTGTGATACTGATATGATTGTTGCTTATAAATTTGGTATGTTATTCAATGGGTTATGTTGTATGGTATGAGTATTCATGTAGAGTAGGATTCTGAGGAATGTTGTTAGAAGATACAGTATTTGTTACTACTCGAGTAAATACTATATATATCTGTCTGTCAAAACTTAAAAGTCTTGTTGCTGCCGTTTTACTCGTATAACTTCTTCATCATCTGATCTAAATGTGAGACTACTATTCATTCACTAGTTCTCTAGTAAGAATATCGAGGATGTTATCATGATTGATTATTGATACAGTTAGTAGAGTTACTCATTATCTACTCGATAGCAAATATACATTTTCTATTTCAGATTATTAAATTTCAATGTATGAGTAGAATAACTCGTTAGATATTAAGGTTACGAGCACGTCTTATATATCTATCCTCGCAGTTTATTGATTGGGAATTAAAACAGTTGAATTTATTAATATTTTCCTCTGAGTAGTTTTAAAAGCTTGCCATTTCAAGTTGTATATATTATAAGTCTCTAAATTGTATAGACAATCTAATAGTAATTGACTATATGATTTTAACTAAGTAGTTACAAAAAGGATAAGATACTATCTGGGAATTTCGCTTTCATTGATATATAATTTTCTAGGCAATTTTAAATAGGTAAACTAATACTGAAGTTTAGTTATAGAAAACCTCATGTATTCATCTTCATGCCAGTTCTTCCGAGTCAAGTTACTGTCATTTGATTATTAGAATCATGATTTTATTAATTTAAAGAATCTCATCATCAGAAAGATAAATTATCTACTATTCTAATCACTGATTTGTCAAACTGATACCGTTGCTATAATTTCATATTATAGATTAAATTTGCCAAATAGATATGAATTTTCGCTATGTTTACTATCAACATCTGATCCCCAAAAGCTTTCCAATCATTCTAGCTTGATCTCGAATAATCCAAACAATCTTTGATAAGTCAACTACCCTACTTTCGGGCCACCCTTTCACACCAAAAACAGTGATTTTCGAATATTCACAATTCTATCAATATTGAATCTAATTAAATGAAATTTTGAATATAGATTCTATATATAGTTATTAGCTCAGTTATAGTTTTTT